ATGTATACACACACATCCATACACACATACATGGTAATAGGGAGGTGATGAGGTGGAAAATTGGGGTAGATGTTTCTGACTCCGTCTTAGAAACACCTGCATGCAATAATAATTTTACTAGTAAGTTAAAGATTGAAATCAGCAGTAATTAATTGGTTGGCAAGAGATTGAAAAATAAGTATATATATAAATAAAGATAGACAATAGAAATGGAAAATTATGTTACTTACAATAGTATATGAAACTTTTCCAAAAGTTTAGACTGTGTTTGTTAATAATGGAACAGTCAAAAAGAACTATGGCGTCTAAAGCTGACATATCGCTACGTAACCTCATATGACGGCCCAAATCAGGGTACCTTACAACTAACTGCAGAGCCAAATCTGTGTGTATATATATATACATATAAAATTCAATTAATCAGGACTATGTGGTCTAATGATATCCGGGTTGGACTTCCATTTGGAAGATTATGAGTTCAAGCCTCAGTGGAGGCGTTATTGGTTCTTTGTGTTTCAGTAGGTTGAGAAAGTATGTAACAGAGCCAGTAACTTTCAAAAAAAAATATAAAATTCAATTAGCTTATATTATAATAAGCTAGCTAAGCAAATTAAAGAGGGTAATTACTAGAGCTGGCCAAAGTCCGGACTTGGACCGGGCCCGGCCCAGTCGCAATCCGATTCTGGGCCTCGGTCAGCATAGTTTGGGACCGGCCCATAGTATTCAGGGTCGGTCCTGTGTCGGGCTTTTTGTGGGCCGATCCCGGACTAGGCCCGTAATTTATTATATTGTTTATTTTGTTTTAAATATATAATTTTTTTTATAAATTGATAAATTTTTGTTTGAAATAATACTTGAACCATTAACCTTTTAGTTAAAGTTTTTGTTAACAATTTAAGTTTTTTTCCAATTAAGCTACTACAACCTCTTGATACATTAATAATAATTAATGTATATATACACATTACACACAGTCACACACTTTTTAAAAATTAATATTTTTGTTATTAATCTCAAAATTTAAAATTAACATAATTTTTTACTAAATTAAAATTTATAAATGAAGTTAAATACATTTGAACTTGTACTATTAAAATTTTATATAAGACTTATTGACTTAATATTATTTGATAACTTATAAATATTATCAAATGTAGTATAGTTTATAAAGTTCATTTGATTTTTACTTACTAAATTATGTTAGATGATAAATTAAAAATTTATAAAAGACTTTTAAATTGTGTTTGCTTTTAATTTATGGAGAATTGTTGTGAGTAGAAGTAAGAAAGTGTCGGATTAAGAATTTTTTTGTGATAAAAATAAATTGGATAAGAGTACGTATAGGGTAAAATGGTAACTAAAAAGAAGAAAAACAAAAATATTTATCCGTTGCACTGGCCGAGAGGCGAGAACAGGAGTAGCCTCTACCGAAGGCCAAGCCTAGTCTAGCCTCCGACAGAGGCTACATGCAATGGCCAAATATATTTGGCCGTTTCACGTTGTAGGGATGAGTAGTAGGTAATAAGTTTAGCTGCCACAATTAAGATTATTAATTTTTTTTAGAATTTTAGGCATTTAGCCATGGAACCAAAGCTGGCATGCTTTGCTGCCATGGCTGTGTTTGCCCGGGCCTGGGCCATGGGCCGGTTCCGTGCTGGGCCTCGAATTTTTTAAAAGGACCTGAACCGGCCCTTAACAAGGCGGTTACGGTTCGAGTTAAGCCCGGCTCAGGCCCAGTGAGGCCCAGACCCACCTTTTTTCCGGGCCGATTCAGGATTGGTTCGACTTTGGACCGATCGGTGGCCACCTCTAGTAATTACTACTATACGTACCATAGAATTTATTTGCGATTAATTCAACAAGCAAAGAGACACCAGTTGGGCCTGCATATGGATTAGGCTGCCCGTATTCATCATCCCTAGTCACACCAAGGAAATACAGAAAGACTTCCTTGCTTTTGCGATTATTCATAGCCGCAAAATGGATGGGGAACAATCCATTGTTGTTATGAAGATAGAGGAGATTAGAATTCCTGCGAACAAGGATATCAGCCACCTCAATGTTTCCATGCCGGGCAGCGATGTGAAGTGGGGTATGCCTAGAGGCGTCTCTGGGGCCAAGTTCTTCATCTTCCAACAATAATGCTACAAGCTTTTCCATAAAGGAGGCATTGCCTGCTTTAGCACCAACATGCAATGCAGTCTTTAAGGTATTGTCAAGTGGAGATTGAATTGCTGCAGGGTCTTGGTTGAAGAATATTTGAGCTTCTTCCCAATTTGCTGCCAATATAGCTTTATATAGTGGCAGGTATTTGCTGAAATCATCTGCAACATCATATCATATCATATTTGGGCTGGGGAAGCTAGCTAACTGATGAAAATTTATGCAGACTGTTCCATTTTATAGAGCTACTTGGAAATAATAAATGGTAATATTCCTTCTTCATATTCCTAATAATATAAGGAAAGGGAGAATGAATTCTAGTGTGTTAGAATATAATACAAATTAATAAAGTCCTAATATGACCCCTCAAGCTTAAAGTTTTCTAGAGAAAACATTGAGTTTTTCCCTTACATCATTTAGCCTTGCTATGGTTAGTGACTTGGTGAAGATACTTGCCCGTGTGGTCTTTTTGTAGAGATGTAGTTTCTTTTATGCTACTTTGTCATGAACAAAATAAAAGAATCTTGTCGGATCAAAATTTTATCTCGACCTAAGGATCCGCTACAACGGAAGAGTACTCATTCAGAGCATCGCTACATATATCAGAACATTTATCCATAGCGCAGCTACAACAGAACACTCATCCTGAACACAACTACAATGGGTAAAGAGCATCCTTCCTTCCCATATACAAGATGTGTGAAAGTTTGGATGCACACTACTGGAAATTATGAAATTTCCGACCACCTAAAAGTTATTTTAAATCAAGTCGAAAGCCTTGTTCCGACCACTTTTGATATCTAGAAAAACCTTTGTTGCTATTTCCGACCACTTTTTGATTTCAATTTGATTTAAGATCACTTTCAGGTGGTCGGAAATTCCATAATTTCCAGTAGTGCCAGTGGTTGATGTGTGTGTTGTGAAATGGGAGGTTGAGGGGTTAGATTCTTGTTGGCTGGGCCACCATTCCTCTCTACCACCCCTTGGGTCAAGACTCTCCCAATAAAACTATGGGGAAGCTAGATAGGTAGCTAGAAGCCTAAAATTAATGAATCAAATTTAAACCACTCTACCTGGAGTTTGAGGAAGTGCTTGGGAAGAAGCTGCCGCCATTTAATTTCTGCAAATTTATTCTATCTGATGATCTTAACTCAAATGGAAATTGATGGCCGGCCTGGCACGCTATAGTTGTTCAGAATAATGGTCGGATTTATATATAGCTGGTCGGCTGTCAGCTAGCTACAACTTTCCTACTATTATATGGTATGAAGGTGATGAAGACGACAAAATTTTATTAATAAAACAAACACCCAATAAATTCCAAACATGAGGGCCCATTCTTCTTAATTATTGATATAAATGGTTGTTAAAACTATATTACAAATAATAATTCTTTGGCTAGAGTGTCATCCCGCACCATAAATCATTTCTGGTAATTCATGTTGCACCATGATATTTAATAAGTGATATTTAGAGTTATAAATCATAAATTTTTTTTATCTAGAACTTCTTACAGGTTACCGATGATAATATTGCTGACATTGATTTTTTTTTTTTTTGGTATTTTTCTTTTTTCGCCTTCGTATTATAATTTTTTTTGATATTTTTCTTTTTTCCTAAACGTATAGGCCTGCTCTGCGTTTTTCGCTTCTGGTTTCTCCGATACCAAACTCCGCAGAATAGGCCTGATCGAAGAAACGAGAAGCAAAAAACGCAGAGCAGGCCTATACGTTTAGGAAAAAAGAAAAATACGAAAAAAAATAATACGAAAGTGAAAGAAGAAAAATATCAAAAAAAAAAACTAATAAAGAATTTCATGTCAGCAATATTATTACGGGTAGGAAACCTGTAAAAAGTTCTAGACTAAAAAAAATTATGATTTATAACTCTAAATATCACTTATTAAAGATCATGGTGCGGCATAAATAATCATGAATGATTCATGATGCGGAATCACACTTTAGCCTAATTCTTTTTAAACAGTTACTTTCGATTTCATTACCCAAATCTGATCTGTTCAACAACTATCTTTGCTAGCTACTAAGCTACCCACTTAATTATTACAGGGATCAAATCAGCCAAGTTTGATCCTATGGAACTATTAAAGATCGTACAATGGTTGAAAAAGTTCTTCTTACGAGCGATAATCTTTTTATAAAGAGGGTAGATATTGGTACAATGACTAAAGAGTTTTTACACTCAATAAGTATTCAACATCGTCACTAAAACATATGAAAACTCGATCTACCACCACTAATTCAAAAGCTAATGAAAAAATTATTTACCAAACAAATTAAATATAAACTTTTATTTTAATACATAGGTTTCCCACTTCATGCCAAACTAATCATAGTCTTTAGTTCCCCATCCCAGAATAACTAGAGGATGTAAATCTGAGTTGCATAAGCGACATTTCAATTAGTCCTACAGACCCTATTCCAACATGTGGAGCCCAACGCTTACTTGGAGAGTCCAACTCTAAAGATGTTTGAAGTGGAGTTTGAATCCCCACTCTGACACCTTCAAGTGTGACTTGAGGTCAAGTGATCAATCTCTATGCAAGTCTCGAGAGCAACTAAATATGAACTTTTCATAAGCTATAAATGACTTAAATCTCATTATTTTTCTTTTTAGGTCATCTGATCTAATATTAGAGGCACTCAAGGCTTACAAACACAACAACCATCATAAGAAATTGTTGATTGAACATGAATACTAGGTTGAACAACACAGTACAACCTATTTATATGCACATGCATTTGAGCAAAGAATGAAAATAGTTGGTAACAGAAGTGTTGATGATGCATATATGCATATAGAAGGAGTCTCAGCTCAGCCCAATAGAGGCTAAATGAAGTCTGGTAAATCCATAGTAACACCAGAAACAATACTTTGGAAAGAAAAGATAAACCACAGCTCAGAATTAACAATACCAAAGTTGGAAAAAGAAGCTATGGGGCCTTCAATTCTCATCATCATCTTCCTCTTCTTCACAAATTACTTGACTTCTCGCATCCGCCATAACTGTACACTGTTGTCCTTGGATGCACTAGCGATAGCCAAGCCGTAGGTTGGGCTCCATGAGAAGTCTGTAATGCTATCCGTGTGGGCAGAGTGAAGAAAGGCCAACTCCGGGGGTCCTCCTTTAGCCTCCTCACTGGTTTGTGCCCGCCCAATCCTGGATAGCAAGAAAAGTAAAAAACTCATATAACAATGCATTCATTTCTTGAATTCTTCACAGATATAGCTATGCACCATGTAACAGTAGTGAAGAAATACCTGTTAACATCCCAAACAAGAATCTTCCTTCCAGAACTTGAAGCTAAAAAATTCTCATGCTTGTGATTCCACCTAACATGGCCAACCTCCTCCCTGTCACAAGGTTCAGAAAAGCCTTTAATACTTGTTTTCATTTACACAGAGAGAGATCGAGAGAGAGAACAATTATGCCCTAACGATTGATAAAGAAAGCAAAGTTTCCTCAAGAAGAAAATGGGAAGTAGAATAGCCTCTTACTGCAATGGACATTCCAAGGTATGGAGGAAAGGCGAAGTCTTGCGCAGATCAAACACTTTGACTTTCCTATCAGAAGATCCAGTTGCTAAAACCCATCCACAAATAGGATTAAATGCTAGGGAGTTAACCTGTATTAATAACAAAGAAATGTTAGGAAAGTTACATAAATCAACTAATGTAGTCACAAAGAATAAAACAATAATGTAGTCCATTTCTGTACTCAAATACTCACTTTAGCATCATGACAAAGTACAGATTGATTAAGCTTGATTGGTGGAATGCGTATATCCCATATATGTAGATGTTTATCTTCTCCAACTGAACCAAATAAGTTCTCATCCTTCATATGCCAAGCTACATCCTCAACACATCCTTGCTGTTTCTGTTAGAACATCACCAAAAGAGCTATTTATCAGCATAAAAAACACATGAAGCATAGTAGTTCCTATATAGTTAATTCTGATACATACATCAAATATACGCATAGCCTCAAGTGTATTATCATGTGGAGTGGCATTAACATCCCACAAGCAAACTTGACCATCCTCTGAGCCACTTAACAAATGACCCTTCTTAAATGGACTCCAGGACAAGCCAAGTCCTTTGTCTTTGTGACCGGTTAACCTCAAATCAGGGTTGCAAACACCCTCCTCGGGAGGGTTTGACAGATGTTTGGTACAATCAAAAATGAAAAGCTCAGCACTACCTGTCTTGGTAGCAATAATACTCGGGTTTTGTGGCATGTAACGAGCCCGGTTAACTACCCCATCATGATTTATTTTCTGCACTCTTTTTGTCTGCAACAGAAATATTTAGGGGAATTACCTCAAATAGCTATAAATTTGTAAAATAGGCAAGAAAATTAAAGATACTATAGGAAAATGAAGTTTCAAAACAAAACTACTATATATGTATACATTTGAAGCTGAAGATAAGTACAGAGTATATGTTTTCTCAAGTTTCAAATCAAAACTACAGTTAGAATTGAAGGAAAGGGGAAAATGAGATTTATGCAAATAATATTTGATCTATCTCAAATTCTCAACATATTTGCAGCTTTCTTAATACAACATAATTAGGTCAAAGCAAAACAAAAGGAATTGCAATAAAATTAAAATCACAGAAGAATTATATTCACTATGTACCTTCCCGATCTCAACAGAGGAACTGGATTCTTTACCATCCCAATCTTCGCGACTAATCTTAACCTGAACGAGCATAAGGCTGCTTTGTTCATTCTCTGGCGTGCAAGTTCCGACGATCAGTTTCTGGACAGTATAAGGCTTCCCCTCCGGCTCGTCCCCGCCGGGGAGCCATTCGACGGAGGGCGTCGGGCTGTCGAGGTTGTGACGGACGAACCTATCGTCCAGTGTGCGTGATTGGCTCGTGGTTGGCCGCGAACTAGAACTCATCGCGTTTGAAATGATCTTCAACGATTTGCAGGTTGCAGAATTCTTCAGCGATGATGGAGAAATCAGAAATGGTGGGTATCTTGGGAGTTTCTTGTGTTCTGTTTAAAGCTTTTCAACAGAATTTTGGAGGGAAATTGCAACTGCTTCGATCGTTATAATAGGGAATCTTTTCACGTAAAACATGAGTATTGGAGTTAATTTATTTTTTTTCCCTAACCATATTATTGTGGCATGGTTATCCGACATATATGAAATCAAATTTTTTTTTTAGTATTATTGACTCTATTAAAAAATAATATATGTTCTATACTTCACTATCTATTTCAGTCTAAAGAGTTAATACTCCACCATTGGGAGTTCAATCATGTGACTAGGGTTCAATCAAGAAGAGTCACGGAAGTGTCAACTGAGCAGAAAGTATTTTGTAAGACATCAACTTAATTACTTAAATGAACTTAAAACATAAGAGTATTCAATATATTCAACATACAATGACTACAATCTTCTCAACCACTTTTTGTTTGATGAATTTTAAATTTATAGATGTCATTCCACTTTTAGTCATTCTTTTATAAATCACTCAAAATTCCTAGATCTATTAGTGCTCCTCAATTCATCTATGACTTATTTAACCTTCTGCAATCGCAAACTTTAATATTCACTCTTTATCGAGCAGTAGCAACTTGCATTATTGCTTGTGTGTCATAGCGTGTGCCTTCGTAATCTGCAGGACATTAGCTAGCCAGCAACTCACTAGACATCTACCTTTGCCTCAAACTTTCGGTTAGCAACTCTATTGACCGTTGTCATTTGTGAAGCAACAGCTCCTCATGTTCGCATGATCAAAAAGTCATAGACGATCGAAAAGTTGCAGGAGTTACAAGAGAGAGTTCATTTACTTGGAAGGAATTATTTGATTTTGCAGCTCTACTTCTTGCCGAAGTGTCGGAAGGACGGCAGGGATGGCAGCGATGACTGGTCGTTGGCGGCGGATGGCGAGGTGGGGCAAGGCTAGGAGAGGGGCTATCGGCGACCGGCGACGCTGGTAGAGGGAGGCTGAGTTGTTGAGATTTCATAAATCATAATGGTGGATTGCACCCGTGTGGCGAGGGGCTTGTTGCAATCTACGATTTTATTGCGTTGACTTGAAAAAAAGGTCTACATCAATTAATAACCTCTGACATGTCATCATAGTAACTTGGTAACCTGTTAAAATTTCTAGGTGAAAAAAATTTAATGGTTTGTAGAGCAAAATAGCACTTACGAAAGTTCAGGGTGCGGCATGACAAATCCGATATAGTTCATGGTGCGGGATGACACTTTAGCCAAACTTTTATTTCTATTATAACCTTTATTTCCATTATAGGGTCCTACATAACCAAATATCAATATTGTCATATTGGTAATCATTCCAATTTCACCCTACTACCAAATATCCAAAATACTTTTACCAAACCCCATTACCATAACCAATTATTTAATTCTTATTTCAATTCCAATTCCGTTGTGCAAACCAAACACACCCTTAGAATGAATCTTAATATATGGACCATAAACCACATTACACTTAAATGTTCATTTTTAATAGAGTTAATACCCAAAATCGCCCTCGACTATAGTGGTTTTTCTCAATTTCGTCCTAAACGACTTTGGTGACCTAATATCGTCCCAGACTTTTGTGTTTCGCTCAATTTAGTCCTAGACTTTTGTGTTTTTGCTCAATTTAGTCCTTCATTTGTTATTCTGTCCATTTGGTGTTAAATAAATAGACAATTCAGTAATTTTAATATTGGCATCTCTTTACTCATAGACATGTGAACTGCGAAATCCTTTTTTTTTTACGAATTACTCCCAGAATTACTCCTAAAACTGCGAATATAAAATTTGATTTGCAGGTCCGGGAGTAATTCTGGGTGTAATTCGTACAAGAAAGAGGAATTTCGCACTTCACAAGTTGAAAGTAAAGAGAGATCAATATTGACATTACTGAATTGTCTCTTTATTTAACACCAATTTGATGGAATAACAAATGGAGGACTAAATTGAGCGAAACACAAAAGTCTGGGACGATATTAGGTCACCAAAGTCATTTAGGACGAAATTGAGAAAAACCACTATAGTCGAGGACGATTTTGGGTATTAACTCATTTTTAATATAGGGATGGTTTCTTTGGGCAACACCAGATTCAAACCAAATGTATTGCTCAAAGTAGAAAATTTCAATACAAAAACTAAGTATACAAGCCAACAAGATAGATAATTCATCTTATGAGAAAATGACCAATTAGCTAACATAGAGCCTTGTACTCAACACTTGTAACTCAGTACGTAATAATATAATCTCAAGTCTACAACAAAACGAAAATGCAAACTGATTCAATCACACTCCTCAACCCCCCAAATTATTAAATATTGGATGCCTTGTTGAGGATGACACCTTCATATTTGACCTGGAACCACTTCATTGCATCCTCCTTAGTCACCCTGTGCTGGATTCCAACACGAGACTTGCACCTGCGTCGGTGAGCAACACAGTAACGTCGATACAACAACTACACCAGTTACATCTTATCTGATAAGTATGCAGAAGTGGTTCGTGACAAAGAAATCCGAGCATTCAGGAAAATTATCAATGATGAACTCGACTACCAGTCAATGGCAAGAAAACAAGAAGCTCAAGAGAAGGAGTCTCGAATGCAAGAAGCTTACAGAGAGAGAAGTTAATGAACATGTAATAGTTAGAAATCTAGCTCAACTCTCTTGTAATGCATTAAACATGAATGAAATATCTCTTTCTGCAGGTTGTGTTGAGTTTTTATTATGTTATTTACCTAGAACTCTTTTATAAACTCAACTATTTGGCTGTTTTGTAATGAAAAAATCCTTTCATTGCATGGATAATTTTGATAGCAAGAGTATAGGTTTTGGCATCATCAAAAAGGGGGAAATTGTTAGGAACAAGTGTATTTAGATTTTGATGATACTAAACTTACTAGGAATGTAGACCCCTCTTTTACTCTCGTTACTTTACATCTGTTGTACTAGACGAAAGTTGTTTCGGCTCACCTTGTAATTCGTGCTTAGTAGCATATCTACACGAATCAGAGCTGTATTTAGGAAGCTAGAACTGTTTGAAGAAGAGAGAAGATCAAAAGAAGGCCGAGAGATCAGCTGAGACCTAAGTCATGGAAGGGTCCATCTCTCGTGTATGAAGAACTTAACGAAAGATAAGGTCAATCTTTCGCTGTCTTATGACCCGAGACTACAAGTCAAAGCCTGACTTGATTAGACAAGATTCCTATGCTATCAGAAGCATATTTGTCTAAGTCTCAGGGTAAATCATCCTAGACAAATAGTGTCCTAGAAATGAAATTTCAAATAGCAAGGAGCATTTAATGATTAGCACCTTTTGTCTGCATAAAATGACAAAATGGTTGGTTACTTTTTGAAACCAACGGCTACACAATATAGCCGCATTTAAATCTCCTTACCCAGAGGTCATTACACACTGGTTAATAGGTTTGAAATTTCCATCTGACCATCTCCTTCCAACGGATGGATTTCTCACCCTATAAATACCCCTCTTCATCAATTGAAGAAGGTGCTGGTTTTTATCAATCTTTGCTATCTAAAAAGCTTTCAAATCGATCATCCTAAGCTTTGTAAACTAGTGTGTAGTTGTGAAGACTTATTTTCAAGAAGATCATCCACTCATCTAAGTCTTCATAACACCAAAGAAATCTTGTTGCTTTCTAAACGAAGATCAAGCTACTTCAAGCCAAGATTTCAAGTTGGAAACAACATCAAAATTTTCCTCAACTCTGAAGAAGAAGTTGATAGATGCGGAGTAAACTCAAGGAGTTGAAAAACCTAGCAAGTTGCGGTCCGGCTTAGTGATCAAGGACGCAGCTTGGCTTGTTTGTACTAAGGAGTAATAGTGCAAACCCTTTCACGAGTTGTGAAAGAAGAGTGGAGTAGGCTTTGTTAACAGCCGAACCACTATAAAAATCTCCTCTCTCTCTTATTACTTTCGTTTACATTACTTGCATTGCATATCATCCACAATCATCACATCTTAATCTTTCTATAACGAAAGTGTGCAAAGAAACACACAAAATTTCCGTTGTGCATCATCCTCTCGTGTTTGGTTTTAAAATTCGAAAAGAGTCTATTCCCCCTCCTCTAGACTCTCCTTATACACTACCGGGACCAACAGTGTGACCTACCCTCAATGAGAGCTATAGAGGTGTCATCTGAACAAGCTGTTTGGGGTTTGGCTTCAATAACATGAGTAATTAACTGATTTGAAAACATTTATGAGTAATTGACTGATAAAAATCATCTTAATACAATTCACCTGATCGATCGATCTCAACAAATTAAAATATAAACGTAAAACTTTCCAAAAGGCCATCCATCCCGTTAATAGGTTTTGGTTTATTCCGATTAATTAACATGCAACAAAATATAAACGTACAACATACTTACGAAAAGTCCATGCATCCGGCTTGGTGTTGATAGGTTTTGGTATATTGTTGAGTCGTCAGATTAACATCTGGGGAATTCCACGCTGACTGAAAATACCGGGTCCGTAAGTAGATGATACCAAAGCTACAAGCAGTGGGAACTGAAGAAGCACAAATGAAGTGATGGGCAAAGATGCTAGTGCTGGCACTATAATACGAATCCATGACTTGTTTTGCCCAAATACGAGGTAGATGGTTGAGGAAAAGGCTGTCATCATTAATATAATCGAGAAAAACAAGGTGATGAGACCTATGATTAGTCTGTTGGGAAGAGCATATAGGAAATCTTGTTCTGCGTAGCGAGAGGTTAAGACGGACAAGAACACCAGCAAGGAAGTAGCGGCTGTAAAGAGAGATGCAGCATTTGAGATGGCAAATACTGTGAAAGCATTGTGGCTGGAGAAGATTGGGAGGCCATTTGCATCACTGTTTCCACCAGGGACGGTGATTGCAGCGGCAAAGACGACAGTAACAATGAGAGCTGCTGCAATTGTGCATGAAGTTGCTGTGTCCTTCATCCATTTCTCTCCTTCAATTTTTAAGAGTCTATGGTTCTCTGTAAAATGCATTTCCGGTGTTTTACCATATTCATCCATGCATGACGAAAAATATGGTAGTGCAATTTTTTGCACTTCCTGCAAAATGAATGAATGCATGATTACTTTAACATATATTCTCTATCCATCTTTAATTTAACGTGCTCCATCTAAATTATCTATTCAAAATAGATATGATAAACAATTAATTATATATACATATTCTACCGCTAGTGAGACTCGATCCCTGGTCATTCTTCCAAAGTTTCACTTATATGACCAGTTGAGCTACCCATGCGGCCAAATGTGGCCATGTTGTTAGGTGTGGTCATATGGTCAATTATAGACCATTAGATTAGATAGATCCAATGAATCATATTAATCAAGATTTTTCCAGTATTTTCGCGCACATTCTCCTACCCAGCGATCTGCAAGGGTAAACTCGTCATAAAACACCGGAATAAGGAAAATCACATTGTTGTGTGTTTTATTACACCATTGGTGCATGTTGTCAACACTGTTGGTGTATTCTGGAACCCGGCCGCTATAAATGGCCACTGTAATTACCATAACACGCGAATACATCATTGGTGTGTTTCACTGTGTTGTGTTTTATTACACTATTGGTGTATGTTGTCAACACTGTTGGTGTATTCTGGAACCCGCCCGCTATAAATGGCCACCGTAATTACCATAACACCCCAACTTACCAAAACGTGCGAAAATCCTCATAATTACAACTGCCGTTAGATTAAACTGATTCAACGACACAGATACGACCACACGACAACACCTAATGACATGACCACATAGGAGAGCTCTTATATATATATATATTAGCGCTCAAATGCGGCAGTTACTTTAGGTGCGGCGGTGTGGCCATATCATCATCGTCCATTCTGCTTAATCTAAAGGCAGCGGCTAATTTCTGAAGATTTAAAGATTTAAGCGCGTCCTGGTAAGTGGGGGGTGTTATGGTAATTGTAGTGGTCATTTATATCGGTCGCTTGTCAGAATACACCAACAGTGTTAACAAAAGACACCAATAGTGTTAGGAAAAAGCACCACAATGAAATGCACAAATACACCAAAAAATACACCATATAACTGTGTGATGCTTTTATTCATACCTAATGGTGTATTCTGGTGATGCGTATCTAATTTGTGCATGTTTTTTTGGTGTGCATTTTCTAACATGGATGGTGTATATTTGTATAACTATTAGTGCGCCTGCACTGACCGCATGAGAAGGCGCGAGCGCACCTGAACTTGGCACCAACACGAATCCTCAAATACACAACAGTAAGGTTAATAATGCACCAATAACGAACATAAAACACACAACACTATGATTTGATATATTCTGGTGCCCAATGACGACTTTAACCTTGCAGTTCACGTAGTGTGAGAACGTGCGCGAAAATATCAGAAAAGCCTTGATAAATGTGATTCGTTGAATTTATCTAATCTAATGGCCTACAATTAACCGCACCTAAGTGCACTGCCGCACTTGAACCTTCCTCTATATATATATATATATATATATATATATATATATATATATATATATATATATATGTGTGTGTGTGTGTGTGTGTGTGTGTGTGTGTGTGTGTGTGTGTGTGTGTGTGTGTGTGTGTGTGTGTGTGTGTGTGTGTGTGTGTGTGTGTGTGTGTGTGTGTGTGTGTGTGGTGCAAATATATCTTCTCATGTGGTTGTGCGGTTAACACAAAAAACGCACTTTAAGCACTCAAATGACGCACTTAAGTACACAAATCACGCATCTTAAGCACACAAACAAAGCACTTGAACACAAACCACGCACCTAAAGTTTTTAAAATGGCGCACCTTAAGTTAGTAAACAACTGACGTACCCTAAGTATACATATCACGCACCTTAAGAATGAAAACCGCGCACCTAAAGCTTTAGCCCGACGCACCTTAATATAAGTTTCAACAACTGACGCACCTTAAGCACACAAATCACACACCTTAAGAAAGAAAATCAGCACCTTAAGAACGAAAATCACGCACCTAAAACTTTAGATCGACACACTTAAGTTTTCAACATCTGATGCACCTTAAGCCACACAGTACAAAAACCACTCACATTGAGCACAAAACCCAAGCAACTTAAGAAGGAAAATTACGCACCTTAGGTGAGAACGTGAGAACAAATCGTGTGCATCCATCTAATATTTTTTAATGGTCTAGTTCGATTAGATTAAATGTGTGCGAACACGAATTAAATGTGTGCAAACACACTTAATCGCGTTTGCACACATTTAATTCGGTTTACACACACTTAATCTAATCTAGACCATTAAAAAATATTGTATGGATGCACACAATTTGTTCTCACGTTCTCACCTAAGCAATTGTTCTCATATGATCCTATATATATATATAAACAGATCAAAAATGATATATAGCTAGAGATCAAAAGTATACGTTGTGACCTTAAACCATTGTAACTCCCGCTGCATTTGAAGAGCTGCACCAGAAACAAGATTTAGTTTGTGTTGGGGTGCCAATTTCGCAGCCAAATTCATAATGTCATTTCCATTTCCGTTTATTGTATCCTGCAAATTATGCACAAGCACACTGGTTCCACGAATAAGGTTAAAAATGTTTTCGCAGCGATTCTCTATTGCGATGTGAAGTATATTCAAGTCGTTGTGGTCAGAGCAATAAGCCATCGTAGGATATGCTTCCACAATACTTAGAACCACCTCGGCAATGTCTAAATGTACTGCTCGAAGTAACGCATCTGATGCAAGTGAGAACACTTGGTTGTAATCATTTAAGGTTTTAAGTTCATCGCACAAGCATTTAAGAAGGTCTGTGGCTTGTTGGTGCATCAGGATTTTTTTTGGAATGCTCTTCCACAGCAACACTAAAACAAAATCAAACATTATTACTCACAAACTATATAGATTCACACACGTATTAAAAAAAAAAAAAAAAAAAAAAAAAAAAAAAAAAAAAAAAAAGGTACTAATTAATGGCATCTCCAATGTATATATATGAGATATTTATTTTTTTTAAAAAAAATATGAGATATTTCATTATTTATCATTATCCAATACTCAATATTGGGGTCAAAGACAGACTTATGAATAATTTTGGAATGAATGAGAAAAATGGAAAGGTTTTAAAAATAGACAATTTCAGAAAAAACTCATTTGAGACGGTGCATTTTTTTTTTTTTTCCAAATGAATTTCTTAAAATTTTCAAAAACATTTTTTTTAGTTGGTTAACGTCAAATGCAAGTAGCACTACCTGCATTATTTTTATAGAATGAATGTAGTGAGACACACATTGAAAGAATGTAGTGAGGAATGTAAGTTAATTTTTTTGAGTATACATACATTGTGAGACAAAATTTTGGGTAGATGCTGAATTCTTGGAAATACCTGCATTATTTTCATAGAATAAATAAAATTTTGAAAATTATTTGCAAATTAAGCATGTAAAACATAATTAAAAACATGAATGGACATGTAGGATGGCAATTTACCTTGTCCCTGATGGGGATGGAAATAGAAAAAAATTTCGAAGAATGGAGACCAGGAATGTATGTAATTTCTCGTTAAGGATGAGGACGGGGATAATTAAAATTATTATTATTATTATTATTATTATTATTATATATATATATATATATATATATATATATATATATATATATTTATTTATTTATTTATTTATTTAAATTAAGACTTAGATTTTTAGTTTTTAAAATTAAAAATTATCCTAATTTAAAATTTTGACTAAAAATGATCAGGGACGGGATTCCCCATTCCCGCCTAATTCCCTGTGGGGAAGCGAATGGAGACTATTTTCAATTTTATCAGGGATGAGGACAGGGACAAGGAGTATACTCCTCGTCACTGTCCCGCCATGTTGTCATTCCTAATAGACATGTTTATATGTATTGTAAATTAAATTAATTGAATAAATAACGAAAAATAAATTATATTACTCACAATAGTATATTGACCTTTTCCAAAAACTGAAGTTAGCTGTGTTAATGATAGGACAGTCATATTTAACTATGGCATCCAAAGGAGGTACGCCCATGTTTAATGCAGCATGATGAGTCACATCATGGTGCTGACCAACCAACTCCAAAGCCATGTCTGCAAATTAATAAATTGTAACACAAAATTATTTAATTTATTTTTTGTTAAGAATAATTGTAATAAACAGATTTTGACACTTTTAGCCATTCTCATTACTTTTCTTATTTTTAGTAAGGGCATTTTTATCTCTTTATATTTTTCTTTTGTTATTTTTTCAATTTCAACCGGTTTAATTAGTTTAGAACTTTACTAAAAATTGATTCAGAGGTTACCTAATGTCCTAAACCAATAAAACGGGTTGAAAACAGAAAAAATAACAAAAGAAAAATATGAAAATATAAAGATGTCCTTACTAAATATAAGAAAAGTTATGAGAATGATTAAAAGTGTCAAAAAAATAATAATAATAATAATAGCCTGAAAAGTTAAATGACAAAAACGATAATTTGAAAATAAATTTAGAATTGTCACAAATTAAAAAACAAATCGGTACGGTGGAATTAACTCTAAAATAAAATAAAATAAAAACGAAGGATGGTCGCCAACAACGCACCCAATGGTAGAGGTGACCACGGTTCCGGTTCAAACCGGAACCGTAACCGGAACCGTCACTGTGCTAACCGGAACCGAACCGGAACCGTCCGTACGGTTCCGGTTCCGGTTCTTAACCGGAACCTATAAGGTTCCGGTTAAGGTTCCTATAATATTGGAACCGGAACCGCCGGTTCCGGTTCGGAACCGGACGGTTCCGGTTCCAAACCGTAAAAAAAAAAAAAAAAAAAAAAAAAAAAAAAAAAAAAATTGAAATTTGAAAAGCCAAAGCCGCAAGGCTTTGGCTTTTCAAAAGTCTAAACCAGCAGGCCACTGGCGTAGGCCAGTGGCCTGCTGGCTGCCAATAGCCATGCTATTGGCCAGTAGGCCAATAGCATGGCCTAACTTTAGTTGTTTTGTTTTTGTTTTTTTTTTTTTTTTTTTTTTTTTTTTTCAAAATTCCGGTTAGAACCGGCGGTTCTAACCGGAACCGCCGGTTCGTGAACCGGAACCGGAACCTTAATATAAGGTTCTGGTTCCGGTTTCCCCATTTGCGGAACCGGAACCGGCGGTTCCGAACCGGAACCGAACCGGAATCGGAACCGCGGTCACCCCTACCCAATGGGCACTGCTTGAGCGTGAAAAGCACACCAAAATTGTTTTTATTATTATTATTTTTTTGGTGAGACTTATACACCATACCAAAAAAAAAAAAAAAAAAATGGATGAGTTTGCTCTTATATCAGCAAAAGAGTATTAGTAGTTTAACGGGAGGCGGGTGTTGACTGAACAAAAGATGAGAGATGCGGAAACGTTAACCTTACCTTAGCTTATGCAAAAAAGAAACTAGGTACGTACCATAGAATTTAGATCTGATTAAGTTAACAAGAATAGCGGCACCAGCTGGGCCTTCATACGGATTAGGTTGCCTATCTTCATTAGCCTTGGTGACACCAAAGAAAAAGCGAAAGACGTCCTTGGCGTTGCCAGTATTGCAAGCCGCGTAATGGATTGGGTATAAACCATCGGCATCCATGTCATAGAGCAGAGTGTGTTTCTTCCTGACAAGGATTTCAGCCACCCCAACGTTTCCATACTGGGCAGCAAGGTGAAGTGGGGTAAGGTCATAATCCTTGGCTCTGAGGTGAAGCGCTTCGTCTGGAAACATTTTCGAATTCACGAGCTTTTCCGCAAATGACGCAGTGCCTGATCTAGCAACAACATGCAATACAGTTTCTGAGTTGTGGTTCAGAGGAGCTTTGATTGCTTCCTTATGCGTTCTGAAGAATCTATTAGCTGCCTTCCAATTCCCTTGCACTGAAGCTCTGTACAATTCCATATATATGCCGAAATCTTTAACATTACCTGCTGCATCACAATCACAATCATAATTATATACTCAAACTATATATATACCAAAAAATCAGCAGAGCAGATCAGAGCAGAGGCATGGAATAAATTAGTACCGAGAGATGGGGTAGAGCCGGAACTCAAAGAAGATGCACATCTATTAGATCTCATCATCTCAAACCCTAACTAACTGCAAGCTTCTATTGGGAAACATATATGCAGACTGAGGATGATTGGGTGCAGTAGTGGACTTGGGAGAAGACTTGGGACCGGAGTAGACTCGCTCTTGACCTCACCGCGTCAACTCTAAAAATGTGCTCTTTATTGGCCCACAAGACTAGCTCAAGTGATAGACCTCATGACTAAAAGTCATTGTTCATTTCAAGTTGACATAAGTGTATAAATCATATTGATCTCTTGTGAGTAAAGTCAACGAAAGTAATTGAATTAACTAATTACTTAGACACCTCCTCGAACGAGTCTTTGACAAGGATTGGGGGACTTAGAATTAGGGAGTGTGATCAAATTATGCGAGAGGTTCATAGATAAAGTATTGTCACTATGAGATAGAGTAACACCATAGTCACACCTCTCACATTTCCAACTTCACTTGGAGGAAAGGAGATTGGAAGGAGATGTGAACACCACATATTTGATAAAATGCTCTGATTCCTTGAGTCACCATGAGAGTGGGGCTTGAAGCTAATTGAGAGTCCAATGAGTACAAGTGTGGCATTGGCATTTAGTAATATCTCTCTAGTTCCATTGTCAATGCATACATGAGGTCTAACTAAGGATACACTATATCATCTATACTTAGGGTGTGTTTGAAAATTCGGAAAAGGAAATCATTTTCTGTGTTTCCATGATGCGCTTGGAAAATCTTCCGTTGACTAGGAAAAATCTTTACATTTTCCAGACCAAGGAAGCTACGATGAAGGCTTCCAGACCAATGCTCTCACTTCCCACGGAAGGGTTTCTCACGGAAACCAGAGCAATTATCTGGACTGCCCTAGTTTCCGCCAGAAATCAGTCCGTCAAAAACCACCATTTTAAAAAAGTAATAAATAATATTATTATAAGGCTATTCTTATCTCTATAAATCTCTCCCACTCAAAAAAAAAAAAAAGATCCCACTTCTACATAATTTAATTTGCAAATCATTTACTATTCACATTACGTCCCTGCAAATTCAATCAACTTTCAAAATTGGGCCCAAATATATTAAAATAACATTATTAATTTATATTTTACATTTAAATATTAAAACTAAAAGAACAAAAAAAAAAAGTACAAAACAGCTTTTGTACAGGATTTGCAAATTTACCAAATTTGCAAATCTTATTATCCAATATATATATATATATATATATATATATATATATATATATATATATATATATATATATATATGATGTGGCAAATGTCACATCATCTTGCAAATGGATACATTGGTTGGAATAATGTTAGTCTAAATATTTTTCTATTTTAAATAAAATAATTAAAATATTTAATTATACAATTCTACTCATTTTTTGAAAAATGAACGAAACGCATCAAAACAGTTTTCTAGAATGCAATGAAACACTAGAAAAGAAAATATTTTCTGAAAAATGACACATTTTTTAAAAAATATTTTTCAAAAGTCATTTTCCTACTTTCCAAACATACCCTTAAATGGCCTAGCCCAAGCCCTTAGTTTTACACTTTTACTATTGCTTGTTAATTGCCTTAGTTACTTGCTGGCAAATTATGTTACTTGCTGGCAAATTATGTTGTGCGCACACGGTTGCAAAAACGACGTCGTTTTGACTAAAAACGCGCGTACTACTTAAAAAAAATCAGTTTCGATTCCCGACAACAGCAAATTTTATATTTTACGTACCTTTTTAATTTTAAAAGGTTGAGACGGAAACCTAACGTTAGGGACCAAACGAGTCACTTTACTCATAATTGAACGATGAAAACGGATATGACTAGTTATCATTGATGGGTAAAAAACGAATGTAGTCATAACTGAGGAACTTAGTCAAAACTTGTGTATAACTCAAGAATAAAAGATGCAATTTTTCAAATATATAACCAAAAAATAACTATACTACTCACCATACGGTATTGAAGTTTGCCAAAGGCCCAAAGCCATGAATTAGCTTTGTTGAAGATAGGATAATCATATTTGGTAAATTATACCGTGCATTAGGGCGCACAATGCATTGTGCGTTCTGACCCAAAACGATGTCGTTTTGTACATTTTTCGCGTGTCTGATGTTAATTCCTTAAAAAAAAAAAAAAAAAAAAAAAATGTTTCGAATGTACAGAATTGTATAATAGAAAATACAAAATTTTATATCTGAAAACACAAAATTTTTATAACTGAAAATCTCCATGTTTCGAATGTACGGAATTATATAATAGAAACACATAATTTTATAAATGAAAATTTGCATGTTTCGAAGGTACATAATTGTATAATAGAAAACACAATTATACCTGAAAACACATAATTTTTTTTAAAATGATAAAAATTCTCTGTTTCGAATGTAAAGAATTTTATACCTAAAAATACATAATTTTACAACAAAATACTAAATGACATTGTTTTTAGAGGCGCGGGCATACATAGCAATGTGCGCCCTAGTGCACGGTATAACGATTGATCATATTTGAATATGGCCTTCAAAGGTGATGTATTCTTGTCTATTGTGTGATGACGAGTCAAATCAGGGTACGTATTTATCAGCCAACTCCATTGCCACCCCTGGAAATTAAATAAATGAATTGTACCACCTCATCAATTCTATTGACGTACAATATTCAGACAAGATATAGATGAAATTATTTTAAAAAAGATTGCACTCCAGTTTTCATAAAAGAACTTAATTCTAAAATATTAAGATATTCTAAAATATTAAGATATAGAGAAAATTATTTTAAAAAAGATTGCACTCCAGTTTTCATAAAAGAACTTAATTCTAAAATATTAAGATATATATAAAATTATTTTAAAAAAGGTTGCACCCCAGTTTTCATAAAAGAACTTAATTCTAAAATATGCCTTAATATTTTAAATGTTCATCTTCTTCCAAAAGGTTGAACCCCAACCCTAAGAGCCCGACAGATCATTTAGAAGGATGTAAATCATAGTAACTCAACTGAACATGAACCAGGTAGACCTTTGCTTACTGCGCACAAAAAGTCCCCTGCTCTCACAATATCGCTGGTGAGACTCAATCACTGGTCATTCTTCTAAACTTTTACCTCTATGACCAGTTGAGCGACCCATGCGAGCAATGTTCATCTTTAATATAGGGATGGTTTCTCTGGGCAACGGGAACAGCAGATTCAAACCAAATGTATAGCGACTCTAAGTAGAAAATTTCAATACAAAAACTAAGTATACAAACCAACAAGATAGATAACTCAATTTAACACCATACTGATGAATCGGCTAATACAAACATCAATACTATTTATATTAAAATCAATTGTCTTAATTTTTTATTTTTATCTTTATAAAACCTTTATTTCTATTGTAAGGTCCTACATAATCAAATATCAATATTGTAGTAATCATTCCAATTCCACTTTCACCAAAACCTATTATTATAAGCAGTGATGTAAAACTCGGCCGCCTAGCCGCCTAGGCGCCCGCCTAGGCGCTAGGCGGCCACTTACCTTGGAGTTTTGGCGGCGGCCAAAACTCGGTCGGCCGCCTAGGCGGCCGCTAGGCGGTCAAACTCGGCCGAGTCGGTCAAACTCGGCCGAGTCGGTCAACTCGGCCAACTCGGCCGAGTCGACCGATTTCGTCCGATTTTGACCGTTTTTGACCAATTTTGACCGATTTTGTCTGATTTTGACCGATTTTGACCGATGTCGTCTTTCATTAATTATTGATTTTAATATTATTATGACATTATGACTTATAAATTATCATTATTTCATTTATTTAGATGTGTTATTTGAGTGAACGTTGAAAACAACCTCATTATAATTGTCGAACTACAAGTCTGTCACTATTTTTTTTAATTTTTTTGGTGCCCGCCTAGCCCCGCCTAGAATCCGCCTAGGCGCCGCCTAGACCGCCTAGGCGCTAGGCGCTGCCCGGCCGCCCGACTAGCGCCTAGCGCCTACTGCAACCTTGATTATAAGTACTTGATTTAATTCCCATTTCAATTCAAATTCTCTTATGCAAACCAAACACACCCTTAGAGCATCCACATTGGTTGGGAAGAATGGGGAGATAATGTAAGAGTGATTAGGAAAGAGAGTGTGGGAGAGGAGAGAAAAAAAAAAAAAAACAAAACAAAACAAACAAAAAAATTAAAAAAAAAAAAAAAGAAAGTATTCAGACGCGTCAGGCGCGCCGACTGGCGCGCCTCCGGGCGCGTGCAGTGCACGCGCCCGGCTTTTGCCCAAGGCTGTGCGCGAACGCGCACAGCCTTGCTTCTTCTTCTTTCTCTTTTTTTTTTTTTTTTTTTTTTTTCTGACAATCTCCCTACATTTGCAGGGAGATTATTTTTCAATTATCTCATGTCCACACTAGCTATTATCTCATGAAGGGAAGATTTAATTCTGAATTCTCCCCACAATATCCACAAGTGTGGATGCTCTTATAGAATGAATCTTGATGGACAATAAACCACATTACACTTAAATGTTCATTTTTAACATAGGGATTGTTTCTTTGGGCAACAGCAAATTCAAACCAAATGTATGGCTCAAAGTAGAAAATTTCAATACAAAAACTAAGTATACAAGCCAACAAAATAGATAATTCATCTTATGAGAAAATGACCAATTAGCTAACATAGAGCCTTGTACTCAAAACTTGTAACTCAGTAATAATATAATCTCAAGTCTACAACAAAACCAAAATGCAAACTGATTCAATCACATTCCTCAACCCCCCAAATTATTAAATATTGGATGCCTTGTTGAGGATGACACCTTCATATTTAACCTGGAACCACTTCATTGCATCATCCTTAGTCACCCTGTGCTGGATTCCAACACGAGCCTTGCACCTGCGTCGGCGAGCAACGCGGTACCCAGGGCGTTCCAAAACAACGTAGAAATCCATACCGTAAATACCAGTTGATGGGTCATACCTGTAAGACGGATAGGCAAATAGAACAGTTAAGCCTAATAGGGGGTGAAAGGAAGAAAATTATAAAATGGTGCCATATAGAATATATCACCAAGATGAGAAAGATAAAATATTGTTACGCTTACTTAATCCCGAGATCAATGTGCTCCTGAATACCAAAACCAAAGCACCCAGTATCACTGAAATTCCTTCTTAGCAGCTCATATTCCTTCACCTTCAATCCACTCTCAAGGAGTTGCATCGCCTTATCACCCCTGACAGTGACATAGCACGCAATTTTCTCATTACGCCTGATACCAAATGACCTCACAGTGTACCTAGCTGTTAGAAAAACACATAATTACATCAGAGAGGAGATAACAGAAATGGAAAGGGAATAAGAAGAAGGAATAATATATCAAAGTATGCGTCTTTTCTGGAAGAGAGTCATTAATTAAGCAACCAGAGCAGAGTATATTCAAAAATAACTCCATAAATTACTTAAGCTTAAATTAAATGATACTATAACAAAAGATCAAGAAAAAAATCCAATTATCTATAGCTCTTTTGGATTGGTTTGGCATAAAAGAACTCTTCTTTCTCAAGCAAACAGATAAAACACATTTATCAATAAGCCAGCATTTCTACCACCAGTGAAGTCATACAAAAAAAAAAAATCCACATCTAACAATCTAATAGACTTAGGCTAAGGTTATCCTTATCCCTGCAATACTCTCCTTTCAAAAGTGAATCCTACTCCCACATCATCAAATTTGCAATTCCTTCACATTTTTTCTACATCCCTACAATACTCTCACAATTTCAAAAAGGTCCCACTTTCAATAGTTAAAAAATAGTAACGCTGCCATTTGGTAACCTTTTGTGTCCATTGCAAGCTTTCTTTACATGTAAGCAAGGAGAAAAGTAAAAATAAAAACTATTTTCCACAAATGCATGCCATGTCACCTCGAAAGCACCAAAATTGCTGGGATGAGGTTAGCCTAACACCACCATCCCTGCAATTTGATGCTTTAAAGATGATGTGGAAAATCAAAAAAAGTTACTGTTCTGTTTTTTTCCTTGCCATGTGTCTTGCAAGCTTTTTTTGATTGGAAGCTTGCAAAGGACAAAAAAAGCTGTCAAACGGCAGCCAACTTTTCTATCTTTTAACTTTTATTGTATATATACATACATACATACATATATATATATATATATATATATATATATATATATATATTTATTTATTTATTTATTTAAAGTCAAAGTGAGTATTGCATGGATGTAGAAAAAATAGTGAAAGAATTGTAAATTTGATGATGTAAAAAAAAAAGATCCACTTTTGAAAGTGGGAGAGTATTGCAGGGATAAAGATAGCCTTAGCTACACCTACACTTAAGAAATAGAGCATAAAGCATCAATAAGGCTATATCACAGCACACACATATATTATATACTCCGTATATATTCTTATTATTCTATACATCCTGCTATCCCAAACCCTAGAAGCTAGCAAGCTAGCTTTACCATTAATCAAAGAAGAGAAACTATAGCCTTGATAATGCCATAGTGCCATACCAGAGCACACATACTATCACACTACATCCAGATATTTACAGTCATTTGGATTAGTTTGCATAAAAGAATTCTTTTCATTTAGCAAAAGAAAGAACATAGATTTATCTATAAACCATCCCCAGCTAACTGAATTGATATAAACAATACAAATCTTACAATCTAACAAATTAGCTATGCCATTAATCAAACCCTAGAAACCAATGCCTTTATAATCACTAATCACAACAAACATATAAATTCGATAAAAGCAGACAGATTTCAAATAAAGCACGAGTCTTTCAAGTCCCCTAACTGATTAAAACGCCACAAACATGTTATAATAGCAAAGGTGAAAGAAACCATAAGGTTAGAAACAGAACACACCCTTTGAGAAAACAGGGGTTTGGCCACTGAGCTGCTCCAACACCTATAAACACCGGAAAAAGTCGCTAAATTAGCTCAAACAGTTGAACGAAATGCAACGAGGAAGAAAGGGGCGATGTAGGGCACCTTCGCAGCTCTGGTGAGACGATCGCCGCTCTCACCGACGGAGATGTTGAGGACAAGCTTCTGGACCTTGATCTCCCTCATTGGGTTGTTCAATTTTTTCTCTGATGCCTGTTTTCGATACACAAGAGAGCAGACAGAAACAGTAAGAACACGGCGAGATATGCATATCCATTATTCATGAATGAAAACTGGAGTAGAGAGAAGAGCTAAGTGGCAATACCATGGCTTTCGGCTGACGAGGAGACGGAGAGACGGCGGGAAGGGAAGGGAAGCGCGAGGTGAACTGATAAAGAATGGATTTTGTAACCCTACCTGCAGATTTAAGTTGTAACATTAGGGCTAGGGTTTTCCTTTGTGAAATGTCGGTTTTACCCATCAGTTTCTACCAATATTTTTCTTTTTCTTTACAAATTTTTGTTTTTCTCCCTTCCTTTTAAAAATTATTTGAATTAATTACTGAAATGGTCATTGACTATAGCGAAATTATCAATTTAGTTTTTAACTATTCTTTTTGTCTAATTTTTTTTGTCTAGTTAAAAGTCACTCAATTTTAAAAACCTTACTCAATTTGTTCTTCCGTTTGAATAGCTATCAAAGTCTGTTTACTTAGGACTAAATTGGTAATTTCGTTACAGTCAATGGACCATTTCGGTAATTAACTGTTCGGTTTAATAAGAGAAGCAATGGTGCATGTGATGACTGAAATGGTCCATGATCTTTGACTATTTTTTTGCCTAGTTAAGTTACCCAACTTTAAAAATCTTAATTGATTTGGTCCTTCGTTTGGTTAGCTGTCAGGCGTCAATTTATTCAAGATCAAATTGGTAATTTCGCTATAGTTAATGGATCATTTCGATAATTCTTCAATTTAATAAGATAGACAATGGTGCATGTGATAACTGAAATGATTTATTGCTTATAATAAAATTATCAATTTAGTCTTGAATAGATGAATGTTTGACAGCCTAAACAATCGCATAATCAAATTGATTAAAATTTTTAACGTTAAGTGACTTAATTAAATAAAAATAATAATCAACAATCAAACTTATAATTTCAATATAATTAAGGACCATTTTGATAATTAACTCAAATTTTTTTAACCATCAGCTTCTACCAAAACTCGCCACTGCAATGTAAAAGGGCTAAATTTTGTTTTTCTTCCCCCAAAATTTTGGTATATCATAAATAATTTTTTTAAAAAAATTAATCCTATTTTTGGCGATCCCTTCCCGGAGAAAGTTTTAACATTTTAATTCTTTTCTCGCCGGCGGCACCGGTCGCCGTTGATTCCTGGACTGATTCGGTGGAGAAGTTGCAAAGGTGAAACCTTTATCCCTTTCAGTAGCCCAACTCTGTAGTTCGAATTCTAAATTTCCATTTTCATTCTGCAGCTTATGTTATAGTAATGAAATTTCAGTGTTCTTTAGCTTTCTTTGTCGAAAATCACTTCCAAGCTGTAAATTTGCCATATCAAGAATGGGCATCTGCTACTCCGCTAGTTAAAGTATAAACAAGAGAGGATTTTGTGCTTGAGCAGTTCAAAAAGTGAAAGCTAAATGAGAGAAAATCTTGGGGATTTATTGCATGAGATTCCTAGGATTTATTTGGGTTTTTCTTAGTATTATTGTGTGTTTTATACATGTAGATTGAAAATGAAGAGTACATTTGATGTGTTATAGGTTGGGTTCTTCTTGTTGGAATTGATGTGGAGAACTAAAGGTGGATTATCAACAAAGTTATTGAATATAAGTGTAGTGTGTTTCTGTAAAGCCAAGCAACTGGAGAAAGCAGAAGCGGTGATAATCGATGGTGTAAAGGTAGGAGTAAAAGCGGATGTGGTGACTTATAATACTCTGATTACAGCATATTGTCAATTTGTCGGGATTCATGAAGGTTATTCCGTTCTTCATAGAATGAAAGAAGCCGGGGTTATACCCGATGTTGTCACGTATAATTCTTTGATAGCTGGTGCGACCAAGCATGGGTTGTTATCTCGGTGCATTGATCTGTTTGAAGAGATGCTCGATTCGGGCATTTTTCCCGATGTTTGGAGTTACAACACTCTGATGCATTGCTTCTTCAAGTCTGGAAAACCCGACGAGGGCTATAGAGTTTTCCGGGACATTCTTTTACAAGGTATCCCCCCTTGTCCGACCACTTTTAATATCCTAATCAACGGTCTATGCAAAAATGGGTATACAAAGAATGCTGTAATGCTATTTAGGTACTTAAAGCGTCACGCTTTTGTTCCTCAGTTGGTGACATACAATATTCTTATCCACGGGCTTTGCAAGTCGGGGTGGCCCGCACCTGCTAGAAGGCTTCTGAAAGAGCTCGTGGAAACGGGTCATGTCCCGGATGCTGTAACATATACTACGGTGATGAAATGCTGCTTTCGTATAAGACGTTTCGAAGAAGGGCTTCGAGTCCTGGAAGATATGAGGAGCAAAGGGTATGTATTTGATTCTCACGCGTATTGTACAGTCATTAGTTGTTTACTTAAGGCGGGTAGGACAAGGGAAGCTCATCGATGTCTGGAGAATATGATCATCAATGGCGTTCGCCTCGACATAGTGGCGTACAATACCCTTATTAATCTATACTGCAAGAACGGGAAGGTGGAAGACGCCTACATTTTGGTGGAAGATGCGGAGAAAAGAGGGTTGGTTCATGATATATACACGCATACTATCTTAATCGATGGCCTATGTAAGAACGGAGATATAGAAGGGGCGGAACGCCACTTGGACTTCATGAACAAGATGGGTTTCGTACCGAATTTGGTTGCTTTCAATTGCTTTATCAATGGGTTGTGTAAAGCTGGCCAAATCGACCATGCATTGCACGTGTTTAGATCGATGGCTGAGAAGGATTGTTTTACCTATTCGTCAATGGTGCATGGTCTTTGTAGGACTGGGAGATTTCGCGAAGCATCTAAGCTATTGCTTTCGTGTATTAGAGGTGGTATGAAAATTCTGAAGTCGGATAAAGAAGCGGTCATCGATGGTCTTCGTCGTTCTGGCTTCTTGCTTGAAGCCCGAAAACTGCAGTCAAGAATCCGTGTAGCAAAGCTATTGCATTACCACTAGTGTCTACTTGACATTTCATGTAAAGCATATGCAAAAATATGATTTTTTGGCATCATAATTTCAATTAATTCAACCAGCTTAGTTGACGTGAGTAGCCATACACTCTGTTCTGATATGATACGGGCTGTTCTGATATGGTACGAATTTAAAGGTACCTCATACAGTTAGGGCCTACTCAGGACACCTTATAGTCTAACCATAAATAAAACAAGCACATCTTATTATTATGGTGAGTAGGACATGCGGGCCATGTTGAGACACATTCTGTAATTTATTTCGAAGGCAGAAGGCTTTCGGGATTAGGGCTCAATCTTTCGGTTACGAGTTTTGGAGAGGAGTGGTGTAGGGTCCAGAAGAAAGCATTACACTTCTAAAGCCAACTCTAGACATGAGAATCCCACAGGTTTACATTACTAGGAACATCATCATGTGAAAGCACAAACCAAACTACAATCAATCTCTCACAGACACTTCTTCTCCAGCCTGTCTGTCTAACTAGACATTATAATATATATATTGTATCCTAAATCCACTAAAAACCCTTGATCAAAATGATGTACAGGAGCAAAGAAGTTTGCTACTCTAGCTGATGTGATGATGCACAGAAAACAGCATCAGCCAGTTTCTCGGGGAGCCGGATGGCGAGTACAAGCAAGCGTGCAAGTTTTTTAACGGGTGATAAAGGGCTTGCGCGATAACTTCACATCCATACCTCCTAAGTACTTCGATTCCAAGTAGTTACTTCAACCCTCTATCAATAAATTATGTAGGGTGGGCGAAATGGTAACCAGTTTGCCGTCGAACGTGCTCTGGAATCAACCGGTTGATCAACTCAGGTGAAGCTCCAGCTATCTGCAATACAACATTTGTATGGATCAGCAATTCTACGAGAGAAGGATTACTTTCATATCTTATAAGATAGAGGAATAGGAAAGTAAAGAAGCCAGAAATCATACTTCCTGTTTGAAGTTGAAAAGCGGGGGGAGAGGACGACCATTAGGAAGGCGGGCATTAGGCTCCCGGAGCTCAGCAAAGAAGGGATGTGCACACGCTTCAAGCTGCAGAAGATAACATCAAGTTTACTAAACACAAAATATGATGTCGTGGATTTTTTTTTGGTCAGACCACGAGGTGTCCTGAGCAGGCCCTAACTGTAGGAGACACCTTTAAGATCGTACCATACTCAGACTAATCCCCGTTCACACCGGGTCGGCCCAATTAAGGGGCAATGTGCTGGCCAGAATGGGCCCTAACTGTAGGAGGCACCTTTAAGCTCGTACCATACTCAGACTAATCCCCGTTCGCACCAAGCCAGCCCAATTAAGGGGCAATGTGCTGGCCAGAATACCAGATTGGTTTTTCCATACGAGAGGGGGTTCGAACTCCCGACCTCTCTTAAGGGACGAGAGTGCACGGCCACTCACGCCAACCAAGCTGGTTAATATGTTGTTACTTTATTGTACAAGTGATGTAACATTTATAATTGCTCTTCACAACGAGATAAGCGGGGTTATAAACTCACAGCAGAACAACGAAAACTTGGTGAATACTGGAGAAGCCGCGAAGCAAGATCAATTGCTTCGGGGGGCATTCGTTTGTGGAAAACCTGAAACCAAGGAAGTGTTTAGCATATCGGAAATGTAGTTAGTTGGCTCTTGTGACAAATGCGAGATCCACGCATGGAAGAAAAACGAGGATAACGCAAAATACCTTGTGCCAGGGATGAGCTTTAATTTGAGGGAACCTAAAATCAGTATAATTCGGGTTCATACATCGAATTTCTTCTCTAGTTGGAGTACCAAGCACCTGTCACAAAATGTTCATTAGTACAGGTAAAGCTTCTATAGCCCACGAAACATCAAATAGATATCAAAGATACCTTGATAATTTCTACAAGTTGATCTACTGCATTTTCTCCGGGGAATAGTGGCTGCAATAGTGTTTACAAATTATTGTCTATGTTAGCAAATACGAAAAGAATCAAGTTAGAACTTAGAAGCATTCAAAACGTAATTCTACGATTGACTTTTAAAAAATACGATCACCGCAAACCTGTCCCAGAAGAAGCTCAGCAAGAACGCAACCGGCTGACCAAATATCAATTGCTGTTGTGTATTCCGTTGCACCAAATATAAGTTCTGGAGCCCGGTAGTAACGAGAGCATATGTATGAAATATTAGCTTCACCCTTGATCTGTGTAAAATAGTTTACCAAAATTATAGCCATGGACAAAGCATTGAAGAAGTGTTTTTTAAAAGAAACCCCAAGAAGACAAATGCTCAACAATTCTGCTCAGAGAAACTTTGAGAAGGCTTTATAAATAATCCAGAAATGGTTGGGAATATGAGTTCTCTAGACAGCTAGACCCACCAATATTCTCAAAATACAAAAATAATGCAAATTTTCTCTAATACACATCTGAATAAAAATTCAGCACAACTGCACAAGGGGCATATAAACTCGTCGGAGAAAAAAAATTTAAATTGGATTCCAAAATGGGAATGATTTCAAAATCAGATAAACGAAGGAATAGCGGCTCTCATGAAGCCGTGTTATTCATATTTTGAAAATGCATAACACGGCTTCGTAAGAGCCGTGTTATATATTCATCATTCTCATTAATGCATTGTATATTAAATCGCCTAGACTCGTGTTGCAAAAATCGCGCCTAGGCGTCGATTAATCGGAGGCCTAGGCGCTAGGTGTTGCCCAGCCGCGTCGAGGAATGCCAGAATCGGCCTCCTAGACCGCCTGGCCGGTTTTTTTTTTTAAGGGTTATTTGCCAAAACGACGTCGTTTTGGCGAATAACCCCTAAAAAAAAAATTCGCGAATTCTCCAGTACTCTCCGCCTCGCCGATCTGCAACTTCATTCCACTTTCTTCCAAATTCCAATCCTCAATAACAAACCAACCTCAATTCATAGCATTACTATTTTTCCAGTTCTTAATCACGTTAATTCGTAGCTTTTCCCCGTGTCATCGCCGGCGGAGGAATCGGAATCCTGAGGGCTCCAGCGCTAGACGAGGTGAGACAGCACACGGCAGTCCAGACAGCACACGGCTGTTACGATTCTGATATACTCGCTGCGATGGATCAAGCGGTTGAAGATGGTGTGCACGTGATTTCACTTTCCGTTGGAATAACACGGCTCCCAGGTTGCCGCCTTTCCCTCTCTCCTCCACTTTCAAAAAGATTCCCACTTTGGAATCCAATTCAAAATATTTTCTTCCTCGGAGAATGCACCCGTGTGCAAGTATCTCAAACAATAGCATCACTTAAAACACTATTAATTTAGCGAGCATTTATTTATTTTTAACAAGTAAAAACTAAAGACTTCTAACAACTTAAGCACTTAAAACACACCAACCACATTTTTCACGAGCTATTAAAGTTTGGGGAATAACAGAAGAAAATAGCCAGTAGAAGAACAACATACCAAAACTTTTGCACTTCCAAAGTCACAGACCTTGAGTTGATGGGTAAGAGGATCAACCTTCACGTTACACATAACGAATAGTTAGGTACGCATAATCATGTGACCGTTGAAAGAAAGGGAGATTCGAGGTGTCTTACCAAAAGATTTTGGGGTTTCACATCTCTATGGCAGACCCCTGGAACGCTGTGCATATAAGCCAACCCTCTCAAAATCTGAAAACCATTCACTTATCATCTTTAGCAGGTTATTCAATATATAAATGAGAGAGCCAACAAAAAAGGTAATAAAATGGATTCATACCTGATATGTATAAAGTTTGACATATATGAGGGGCATTCTCTGATTCGAATTAGTGTAATGCCTTAAAACATTATACAAACTCTCGGGGACATAATCCATTACAAGATTAAGGAAAAGTTCATCCCGGGCAGTTGTCGAAAAGAAGCAATGCTTTAAAGAAACAACATTCGGATGATCCATCAAACGCATTAATTGTAGTTCGCGATTCTTGAAACGTCTGTCCTGCAGAACTTTCTTTATTGCTACAGTCTCCCCGGTTTCCAAGCACTTTGCCTGGAAAGAGACACCCGGTGATTAACTTCATACTGAGACCATATGGACGTTATCAATACATTAAACAGTTTATACCTGAAAAACTATCCCAAATGATCCAGTGCCCACAACCCGTTCTGCCATGTAACTAATTGTCTGTATTATAAAGAAAAAGGGTAAATGTAAACCTACTAGAAAACCAAGATTAAATTACAGAAATAGTCGAATAACCAACCCTTTTGGGCTCTCCGTCCTTGCCTCCAATTGTGGTGGATATAATGTGACCAGTGACAGCTCCATTTCCTTCAACTACACTAGTTGGCATTTCCTAAAATGCAGACCAAGCAAGAAATCAATGCAAAACAATTTTCACCACTTCGACTAACAGTCTAATTGGGCAATTGCCATAATCTACTTCAACAACTACTGTCTCTTAGAGAACTCAAAAAATTCACAAATCCACAAAGTATAGAGATGCAGAGAGAGAGAAAGAGATGATATAGAAACCAAGAAAGTAACGTATGGCATTAAACCATGGCCTTTAAGAAAGCATCATGTCACAAAGCTTGCAATATAAACAACAGTCTATATGGGGAGAATCCAGGGTAACCAATTGAATGAAGCAAACACCATAACAGATTGAAGCACAATTTACCTAAACTTGAAGAAAAGCAGAGAAAAGATTACAACTTTTGATTGACCAAGTCAGTTTAGATATCCCCATTCCATAAATACCAAAAGATCCAAACAAGAATATAAACTTTATGATCCTCACAGGGCCTACATAACATATCAGCTTCTGACAAGCAATATATACCCAAGACAACATTCCCTTCTTGAAAGTAACCAAATTCAATAAAACCAGAACAAATAAAGATGGCAAGAAATCCAGCAATTCATTCCAACTAAACTCGAATTAATTACTCTTAAACTCATACTAATTACTAAGCGTCCTAAGGCAAACATAAATTTGTTTATACTTAAAGCCGGACAAAACACACACACTATCCTGTCACGCCAATCGCCAAGAACATCTCGACAATGAATTGGCTGTAGGACCCACCACCGAAATACCCTCCACCTCAGCTTCCGGCGAGCACTTCCGATATCCGGGCACCATCGAAACTCGGAGATCGAACGAAAATCGAAGCCCCCGAGCTAGATCGAAGCACAATTAGTAAGCCCTTAGCTCAATGCGGTGACAGAGGAGAGAAAAAACGAACCATCGTCAGTCTTTACGACGCCTTTGTAAAATACGGAGTGGAAGTTAAATTATACCTTGCCGGGCTCCGTCTCCGGCCGCCTAGCGGCGGCGGCTGTCACCTGCCTGACAGCAGCTGCTCCACCTTGGTCGTGGTGGTGCTGGAGAAGGTGATTGTCCGTTGGATTCGGCGGCTGAGGTCCTAGTGGCAACGCGGCCATGTGATTCTGCTCTCTCTTTCTCTCTCTCTCTCTCTTCCTCCCACGACTCTCTCTCTCTCTCTCTCTCTAGCTCATGTACTAATATATATATTTCTAGTTTTTATTTTTATTTCTAAATATACCAATACCATAATACCTATCAATTATCATTTATCAAGAATTTTTTCCTATTTTAAATATCAATATCAAATCTTTCTTTAAAAAAAAAAATAATAATATCAATTTGTTACTTTTTGTAATAAAATAGTCTATAAATAAATTTAGTTAAAAGATTTTAAAAGTTTATATTTTTTTTTCTCTTAATTATACATAACTAGTCGTTTTTCTCAATAACGACGGGAACAGCCGAACAGTACATGATCGGTCATTGTTCTTAGTAGCTACTCAATCCCGTTGAGGCGTTCTGCGAGGAGATGGACTATTCCCTTATCTTGGTCATAGGAACTCACCGTTAAATCGACGACTCCATACCAATCAACATCTCATGATACAGCGTCTCCGTTGGAACTTGGAACAAGCCCTCTGTAGGTCATCATAGTTTTTCAATCAACTTCAGTTTACTTCACTATAGAACACTCGTGCTAATAATGACTTAAGATGTTCTTTCGCGTGGTTGATCTTCGATGAGCGTCTTGTTACATAATACAAGATAAACAGAGAAAAAGAATACTAAAATGTAAAATTGAACAGAAAGATCCATGAGCATTCTCATTCCTCGATAATATTACACATCATCATACAACATATAGGATCCTAGAAACTAGAAAGGATAGCTGATTAGTCATTTAGAAACTAGGAAGACTAGCTGATTAGTCATTTTTGTCAATGACGATATATGATTAGTTGATTTTGTCAATGACGATATATGATTAGTTGTTTTTCTCAATCGCTATATATGATTAGTCGTTTTTCTCAACGACATGATTCATGATTAGTCGTTTTGATTCCTTATTGTAAGTATAGCTGTATATGGAGGCAATGGAGATACTGAAATGGCTTTGTTTGGTAAAATAGTTAGCCTATAGGCCAAGTTTAACTTATTTGATCATTATTAGTTGCTTGACTTAGTTTAAAAGTCAATATAAGTGTTTAATTAATTAGCTTTTTGTACTCCAAAATGCTAAAATTCAAAAAGCTACTCAAATCAACTTTTTCAATTAACTTTTTGAAAAAATAAATTATATCAAACATCTATCAGCTAATTTACCAAACACCTTTCTACAATCAGCTAATGTTATCAACTAGTTATACCTCTAATTAACCCAATCAGCTATCAGCTAACAGGGCCTATCTAGCAGCAATGGCAGTGTCAAGGAGAAGAGAGCTTGAAACCTTATTTATGGTAGAAAAAAGTAGAATGAAGAGTGTCAAGGCTGGAAAATTATAGGGTCACAAAGCATATAAAATGGTTAATAGAAACGAGAATCATGCAATGGAAACAACAGAACAGTTGAAAAGATTCAGCTGAAAACTGTATATATTCAATTCCATTACTGTAATCAACAAGAAGCTATGATCCACATCGCTTTCTATGAGATCAAGCTCACCGGCCTTCTATGCTGCATCTTTGGAAAGAAAGCTTGTTATAAAATTTATGGTGTTCTCGAGTTTTCACTTGTATTGCTGGGAAACCTCGTACACAAGCTTATCCACGAACTGGCATTTTTTGTGGAATCCCCAACTTGGATTGCTCGCCATAATGTATAAATGTCAGAATACATATGTTCTTGCTGTAAATGGATTGACAATGTTCTTAGCGATGGTCAAGGTGTAAGCTGCTTCTACACAATGTTCTTAGCGAAACTACTTGCTCATAGTTGCAGACAGCCAAAAGTTCCAAAAGATAGAGGCCATTGACATGAAAGCAACTCGAGCTTGAAGAGGAACCACCCTGAAAAATGTCAATAAGTTTACATTCATAGCTTTAGCTTAAAGCAAATGGAGAGCAAAAGAACCAGTAACAGATTCCTAAACCAAATAGGCAGTTTATATTGATAGCTTTAGCTTATATTAATTAGGTTCAGATGAGAAGTAAAATTGTTAAATAAAGATCCTTTTCCATTGAGGGAGAAACACCAGGTTAGTTCGAGATCTATGTGAACAAAACTTAATAATCCTTATTTAAATGATTGTAAGTTGTAACAGAAGTACAATTTCTCTATTGTAGAGGCTCAAGCAGTGCTGTAAGCCTATAAAAATCGGTCTAGGCGGCCGACTAGGCGGTAGGCGCCCCTAGGCCGAGGCGAATTCAGCCCTAGGCAGCTTTTAGTCAGATGGCCGACTAACTGGCCGACTTGGCCGAGTTGAGCGCCTAACTCGGCCGATTCGGGTGCCTAACTCAACCGAGTCGGTGCCCAACTCGGCCAAGTTGGTATTCAACTCAACCGAGTGATTTTTTTTGTTTGCTCGGCTACTCCTCTTATATATTTCTCAAGTCATGTACTCAACTAACCATCTAACATATGCAGCTGACTAGTTTGGGGATTATAACAGTCTAATAACTCCTAGCCCTAAATGGGAAAAGTGGAGACGATATACTCAGAGTCTCAGATGACTCGGCCACCTAGGCGGCCTAGGCACTCTAGGCGCCCGACTAGCGCCTAGCGCCTTCTGCAACATTGGGCTCAAGGGACATATTTCTAATGAGCTTTTAGGTTCATTCTTTTTGTTGTTTTCATAGGTTATTGCCTAAGGGGATTGGGCATTGGTAAAAGGTTAGTTCAAGATATACCAGAAATTCAAGACACTGACAGGGATCCAGAACCTAAATCCTGCAAAGTGTTAAAAAAGAACCAAGCGTTATCCTTGTGGGAGAGTAAAGTGTCTGGCAGAAAAAGCAGCAAGAATGTGAATACCAAAAAATAGTGTGGGAAGGGCATCTCTCCGATACTTATTTGGAAGCTCCGAGAGTTTCCCTAGCCATAGATTGTTCCAAGCAAAAACAACAGCAATTACACAAGGACCGAGTATTACTTGGTTGAGTAAAACCTGCAATCAAGAATTGTGTAGGCACTCCTATAATTTATTCAGAACATTTTCGTATTTCCAGAGAAGTCGAAAAGCAGAAAGCACCTTCGTGAATACATTCTGAACTGTTGGCTTCGGCATGCAATGGTCAAGATACTTGTACCAGGCAAAAGTACCCGGTCCATAGAGAAGAAGCCCATATGAAGCCATCCGTAAGGATCGGAGCCAGTCATGCTCGGAAAGTAGAATTCCCATGACATCCTATCGTGTCAATGTTCAATTGTCAGGCTCTTATAGTTCCATAAGAAACAGAAAACTATAAAATGCACTGGAAACAGGTTACTAGATAAGCGCACTGAACAGGTAGTCATTACTCCATACATTAGAACAAGAATCTACTCCATATCACCCGCAATCAGGGTCGTTCCATTAAAAATAGGGGCCCTATCTAATAGTTCAATTTGGACCTTCATCATTTTTGTTCTAAGATGCAATTTAAATATAATAGAGTAAAACGAGAGAAAAACAAAGACAATAATAGAGAGACAAGAACGTAGAGGGAAAGAGATGTTTTTAACATTTGGAGGCCGCAATGGTAGCTCAGTTGGTTTCTGGGAGACAGATTGTGGGCAAGGAGCAAAGTTTGATCCCCGGGACTTTCACCCCTCCACAATCCTGTCGAGCTGGGGTGTGGGGACCCTTGGGGCAAGGGGTTTTGCCTTTTGTAGGCAAGAAACTACACCATATCTGTACAACATATGTGTTCTTGAACTTTTCCATAAGCAGCATCAATGTTTAAACGGAAAAACTTTATCCACACTACTAAAAGAAAACTTTTTGAGTTTTTGTTATGCTCTTTCATCTGTGCATCAGTGCATATTGCTATAATACCAGCAAAGCCATCTTTCTTATTAGCTCATCCTTAATCAATTCCCACTAATATTAACACATTAACATTATCTCTATCTCAATATACTATGCAACTAAAAAATAATACAAATTTCAGCATTGGCAATATGCTTATCATTCTCCCATATCCTGAATTACACAAAGTCTCAATCTTCTTCAGTTTCACACACACACAAAACCCAGAACCAGTTCATTGAAATTCAAACAAAAAAATTAAATAAAACTAAAGAAAGTTCAAAGCTTTCCCATATACGGAGTAAGATACCTGCAACTGGGGAGATTGAGGGAGGGCGTCTTTGTTCTTCACCCATCGATCCCGGAGCTGGGCGATGGTATCGCCGGTGACGGCGAGAGACCCAGCAGTGATAGCTTGCTTGGCAGGGAAGCGGTAGCCGGCGCCACGAGTGACGTCGACGGAATCGGAGCCTGCGGCGTTGGATTCTCCATTTCCGCCGCTTCGTTCCCTTCTTCGTCTTTGTCTGCTATTCCCGTCGCGAGAATAGAAGGAACCCATTCCCCATATACTCCCATTTCCGCCGCTCAATATGCCCATTCCCAGTCCCTCCACAGTCCACCACTCACTAGGAATTAGGAAACTCGCCAATCAGGAGTCGCAGAAAAGTAAGAGGTTGAAGACGAAAGTGAAGCTGATAGCGTGGGAACATTACCTCATTCTTTCTTTGGCTAATTATCAATTTTGACCCAAATATTTTTAAAATTTCAATAAATGACTCCTGAGGTCTATTTATTTCAGAAAATTGTACAATATTTTCTGTTTTCTAGTTTTTTAATTTTCATTTTCTATTTTATTTTAAAAAAAATTGTTTACTAACACTCATTTTTTTAAATTTATTTTTTAGATCAATGTTTTAAAATTAACACAAGTTTAATTCAAATAATTTGTTGACCTTATATTTAAAATATTTTTGTATATGTTCGGTTTAAATGGAATAAATATAATTTTTAATTTTAAGTCTACTTTTTATATTTTTTAACCGAAATTAAATTTATATTTGTATATAACATAATTAAAAATATATTTTAATCAATAATAGCCTATTAAGTTTACCTAAAATTTAGTTTATATAATATTAATAATTTTTTGAATTAATATTTAAAATAGTTTTTGGATATATTCATTTAAGTGAAAAATATATATATATATATATATATATATATATATATATATATATATATATATATATAATTTTTACTTGAAATCTAATATATATGATATTTCAATATCCAATATCTGGACCAAACTTATATTACGATATAATGTAACTAAAAATATTTGAACCAATAATCAATTGAATTCAATCAAATTTAAAATTTGGTGTAGACTTCAGGTTTTAATTGTGATAATGTGAGTTATGTATAACTTTAAGCGTAATCAAATAAGTTATGTTTATATAAGTAAACTTGAATAGAAAATATATAAGACTGTGACAAGTACAATAAAATGATAATGGATATAATCTATACTATATATAAAAACAAAATCCTGAAATTTTAACTTCCCGCCCAATTCCTAAAAAATCTCTCTTCCTAATAAAATATATTGATTTCTACAATATTTCTGGGTTAAAATTTTATTGTAATATTATAAAATTGTGTAATACTATTCCTATTCTAATCTATATCTATTTTATATATCAGTGTTGCAAAAATCGTGTCGCTGGCCGTGGCGAGGAAGGCCGGAATCGGCCTCCACAGCGGCCGCCTCGCCGGCTGAACTGGCCTTTAATTTTTTTTTTTTTTTTTAAGTTGTAATGTGTCAAAAGTTCGGCAAGGCATAACTTTTGTCTCCGTTGTCCGTTTTGGACAAATGTTTTTTTGAAATCGCGTATTTTTTTCGAGATTTATCCACCGCAAACTGCCGTAGGCGGTTTGGCCCACCAATTTCTAAAAAGAAATACTTTATTAAAGAGTTTCTAAGAAAAAACTATGAGAGCCTTATGTTTTATTAATGAATTTTTAAAATTTTTAATTAAACAATTGTCCCATGCATTATTTAATAATCTTTCTTTATAATTGGTCAAATTATTTAATTATGGTAAATTTGGGAATAATTAATGATGGTAATAGAAATCATAGACGAATATAGAATTGAACAATATTTAATTATTGTTATATTATTATTGTGACTCACGGAATACAAGAGTTAATGCCATTTTTTGTCCTAGACTTATTGGGGCATTGACACTTTTCATCCTCCATAATAAAAATTGCCACTTAGTAGCCACTGTTATTGATCGTTGGACAGTTTTGATCCTCCGTCATTGATGCCGTTTGTTGACCGTGAATTAGAAGGGTTTTTCTGTCTTTTTATGTTCTAATCCTTGTATTTCTCCATCCATTGGTCACTGCTACATCCATTTCTTCAAAATGAGGTTATCCGCTTCAGTCCTTTCTAACATTAAGAAACCATTTTCACCCAACTAACAATCACGAATTTTACATTTGACATCAATCTCAAGATAATGGAAACAAGTGCAATTGGAATAGAAAGGGCGTTAGTCCATGCCTGTGGAAATTTTTTCGAGCATACAACATAACTAGCAAAGTCAGGAATATCACCCAACCCCTCCCTTAACCTTTCTGCATCAACTATAATAGGTATGCCCCTACTCTTTGCCTCCTGCACTACAATCAACGCAGTCTCATGCATCCTTCCATCTAAGTAGACAATATTTACTCCAAGCGCTGAAGACAATTTTGATTTGGGTATGTAGACCCTCAAATATCATGGGTGGATATCCTGGAGTGAAATGCACGTCCGAGTTGTTATTTTTTGGTTGTCAACAATGACATATGTGAATGGTGAGTTTCCTCCTTTGGACACCACCATAAAAGATGTATCAACATCATCCCTTTCAAGCTCATCAAGTATTCTTTCGCCATGCGAGTCATCAGCAACCTTAGATATGATCCTTGGATTAAGACCAAGACGAATTTTATCATTCGGGTTTTATCAAAGCATTGCCAGTGTTACCACCTCCTTGAACCTCAAAGCTGGTGCTCCGAATTTTATCATCCGGGTTGGGGAATGAAGCTACAGCAGCCAGGAAGTCAACACCGGTCATTCCAACACCTCAGACAATGCGATTTTTGGGGAGCGGTGGATTCCACATTTTCAGCTTGAAACTTCAATGAATTTCAGGTAGAATAACAGAGTTTTTGATGTTGTGCACCAAGTAGTTGTGGTCAGAGAGAGAGAGAGAGAGATATGAAGGATATTTATGGTCAATATGGAAGGGAGGACTTACAGGTGCAAATCTACATCACGCCATCTACAACTACAACTGCTATTTACCATAGGAGGGTTCGCTGACCTGCTGCCCTCTCTGCTTTGCCGGAACCAAAAACCACCGGTGAAGGCCCCAACCTCGCCGGATCTGTTGCTGCACCGCCAGATCTGCCTTACTGGTCCAACAACTCGTCGGAGAAGAACCTCGCTGCTACTCACTACCGAAGGTTACTACTTAGTCGCCAAGTCTCGCCATCTCAGCTCGCCTCACAGGAGTCACAGCAGCGCTGGTCTACACAAGATTAGAAGAATAAGACATAAAAAGACAGAAAAGCCCTTCTAATTCACGGTCAACAAACGGCTTCCTTGACGGAGGATCAAAACTGTCCAACGACCAATAACAGTGTCTACTAAGTAGCAATTTTTATTATGGAGGATGAAAAGTGTCAATGCCTCAATAAGTCTAGGATCAAAAATGGCATTAACTCCGGAATACAATACAATAATATTTAATTATGGTTATATTATTATTATGCCTCACGACCATTATATACTAACAGTACTTGAAAAGAAACTAATAATAATAATAATAATAATAATAATAATAATAATAATAATAATAATAATAATAATAATAATAATAATAATAATAATAATAATAATAATAATAATAATAATAAAAGTGATAATAATAATCTCTAAAAGTAATTAAGTGTTAATAATAATAGTAAGAATATTAACGTAAGAGTTGTAACATAGAATAAATTGTAATAATTAATAACTATAGTCTAGGATTAAATTTGGAATTGTCAGGAAAGATAAACGACCTCTGGTGAAATTAACTCTTAAATAATTATATATCGATTTAAATATTCTTAATATATTACAACAATTCCATTCCGTGCATCGCACGGGTGAAAATACTAGTTATAGTAATGAATAAATATGTAAGTAAATAATTGTGAGAACGTAGTTTTGAAATAATGTATTTAAGTTATTTTTTGAACAATTTTTAGTAGTTTAAATTTAAATAAATAAATGATGGAATTTAATTATTCGCATTATGTTAGAGTAATTTGATTTTATTTGAAAATTTTTAACACGACAAACACGAATACGATTTGTTAACAGGTCGGGTTAAATAGCTAGGTTGACATGATAGACACATTTTGATAACAGGGTTTGGGTCATGTCAACATGATATGACACGAAACTCGTTTAAATCTACAAAACCTATTAATATATTAAAAAACTAAAATTTTAAGTTAAGTTATATTAAAAAGAAATAAAACATACCATTCAATTCATCAAATAAACTAACAAAAATATTCAATTTATAACATTCATAAAATGATAAGATACGTCCACAAAACACAATTAAAGAAGTCCAACTAGTTTTTAGAATAAAATTGAACACAATAAAAATTCAATTTTCAAATTGTTGAACATCAATAATTGGTGTAGGATATTGACCTAATGTAGTAAATTCATTATTAGTCATGTTCATGATATCTTTTGTAATCTCATTCATGAGAATGGTTCTTACCTAAATGATGACAATGGTTCTTAGCGGGTTATAAACATTCTCTGTAAACGGATTAACATGATAATATTAATGGGTTAAACGAGTTTCTAATAGGTTTAACGGGCTAACCCGTTAAGACACGAAACATAACGGGTCCCTAACAGGTTAACCCGTTAACGACCCATGCCAGAACACGTTATGACTAAACACTAACTCGTTATTTTTGTGTCGTCTTAACGGGTCGTGTCCATAATTGTCAGGTCTAGTTTAAATGGAGCACCTTAACTGTTAAAAGGACGCACCTTAAGCTTTGAAAGGACGCACCTTAAATTTGAACAAATAACGCACTTTAGGTTCTCAAGTGTATAACTGGCGCATCTTAAGTGTTAAAATGATGCACCTTAAGTATTAACACGATGCACCTTAAGCATAGAAAATACGCACCTTAAGTTTGAACAATTCGCAAAATGACTAAATTGTCATCGCATTTTTTTTAAAATCCATGTTCATCATGAACGTTGATTTCAGCAAGATCAATGACTACATCGAGCGGAGGGGCTGCTGCCCGCCTGCCCCCACTCACCCCACTCCCACCCTATATATATAACCCTTGTATGTATATATGTATGTATATATTGTACAACTTTTAGTATAAGTAAAAAAAAAAGGCTAATGTTAACAAAATGCAAGTTAGTCTAGATGGCAAAGCACGCATGTGTTAGCTTAAAGAAGGTAAATATTTTTATTTTAATTTTTCGTTTATATCTAACAATATTTATGGCTAATGGCTAACTTCTTAACTGTTTCATCTTTTTTAAGCTATTCCTTTTGTTTTAATATTTTGCCCCGACTAAACAAAATTTCTGGATCCACCACTTACTAATTTAATCGTATATTTCACCTGTACACATCCACCCCAAGTCTGACTGTCTGAGGCGAATTGAAATGGCGAAAAATGCTAAGGAGGCGGGTAGGGTATTAATTTTATTTTCTAATAAAATAATAATAAA